TGGGCGCTCAGGCCCGCGATCCCCGGCCCCAGCGGGCTGCTTCGGGTCGGCACCGGTGCCAGCGCAGAGGTCGGGTCTGCGTGGAGTTTTTGGTTATGGAAACGAATAGAACAAAACATTTGCTATAAGGCAGAGAGACTCTTCTGCAGGAGGCAGACCCGTCAGAGGGGATGCCCGCCTGCGGGGCCTTCCCTTCAGCCCAGGTTCAGACCGAGGGACCGCTGGGCCGGAGGGGAGGACTGCGGCTACCCAGACCCGAGCGGCTCGCTCCGCTCGAGCCCTTTCCCTGCGTCCGGGCCCAGCAGGAGCGGCTGCACGACGGCGTGCAGGGTTGGTGCCCCGGCGCTGGCAGAAGACAATCAGTTGCAGGCCTTGCTAAGTTGTCCTGATGTTTCCGGACACGAACTCGCGTGCGCACAGCTGAAGCGGAAGCGGTTTCCTCCAACCTGCTTCGGCAGCTCCCATTCATTGAGTGTGTGTCGTGTCCCCTGCAAATATTCGTAGTAACGATTTTCTATTTTCTTCCCAATCACTAGCAAAACGTGTTCAGCAATGCACACCCAAAAGCTCATCCCAAAGGCCCCGTCACGCTGCTCCGTGGCAATTCCTCAGTTACAGATACGTTTCGGATCTGATCAGCTAAAATCCGAACAGTTCTTAAGTCTTAATGTTTGCTCTGTTGATTTTGCATCACTCGGCTTACCCTAAAAGTTGAACTGTTAGGGCCAGTTAACTGCCTTGCCGAAGCCTGTTACAACAGCGTTACTCACTTTAGCAACTAGGGCTGTAATCCCAGCAACCAACAGCATTAGTTTTATCAGATCTTGCTTCCAAAAAGGAACTCGATTGATGTTAATTACTTTACTCGCTTTTAATTCTTGATTAGTCAAGTTTGTTATCAGTTGTTCAATTATTTTGCCAGCTACTCGGGCCAGGCTGACACCGATGGCAAGCGATCTAGCGAGCGCTTGCTCACACCCCGCTTGCGTTTTCCCCGCGCCCCGCGATGCCCTGGCTGTTCAGCTGGAAATCGGAAGCGCCGACACGAGCGAGCCGTCGATGCAACGAGCAGCTGGGACTTCGCTGCTTTAATGACCAAGATCCCAGCGAAATGTATCACGCACCAGAGCCTTTGCAGCACATGAATCACCTACGTTTTTACATCTTTAAAAAATAAAAGCGCCTTTTGTGGAACGACGCGGGGGGATGTGCACCGCTCCATCCCCGATTTTTGCAGGGCCTGGCTGAGCGGGCCCGGAGGAGGGGGTTCGCCCCGGCTCGACGCCAGCGCGAGCAGGAGCAGGAGGAGGAGCAGGAGCAGGAGCAGGAGCAGCCTCCTGCCCACCCTGCCCCCAGCACCCCTCCACCTCCCCTCCGCTGTCCCCCTCCAATTCCTCCCGGGGCCAACCAGGGCCGCTTTTCATGCATAAAAACAAAGGGATTAACGAACCACTCGAGAGTCATGTCATTCATTACTCCTCCCAGCCTGAATAGCCTTGTCCAGTTTCTGTGTTTTAAGATTAATGAGGCATTTACGCTCAGCTAAAAAGCTGATTAGCCACGTGCACCTCTTCCTTTTTGCTCCGGAGAGGCGGAGGCAGGAAAGGCAGAGAGCGTTTGGGGCTTCAGCTGGCTGGGTTAGTTTTTCCTGGGTGGGCAGTCACGGAGTTGTGCTGCCTGGTGCTCGCGGGATGCTCCCCGCGGTCCCCGAAAGGGCGCCCGAGGCCGCTCCCCTGCTCAAAGCTTGTCTGCAAGCAGGCCGGGGCGACAGCACGCCGTGGGGCCGGGAGCGAACCTGGGCTCGCTCGGCCTTAGCTTGGCTCGACTTGGTCTAAACAAGTAAGTTGTCTCGTCAATTTTGACGTTTTTCTCCAACCGGTTATTCAAAGTACCCGCTTATTTCCTTCATGCATCTCTCTCAACCTCTACAGCCTTTCTCACTTTTCCGCCATAAATTTATGGCGTTAGTCCTTCATCACGTGTCTTAGGCACAGATACCTCCCGCATTGCACGTGCTGTTCAGTCCCGGAAAGCAGAGCGCTGCCTTGCCCCTCCGGGCCCCACAAACACGGAAAAACGTGGGGAGAGCAACGCTGGATCGTCCCACAGCGAGGTCTTCTGAAGGCTACCAAAAAAATAACCTCAGATATGTACTTTTGAAACATATTTTAAGTGACATGATTTCCAACTGTTTTGGGTCAAAGATGCCAGGAGAGCTTCGTTAGAAAAACGTGCTTTAATAACCCCCCACGCTTCCATTGCGGGAATCCTGCCCTTGGAAAACCCGACAAAGCTCCTCGCTTGCTGCAGTCCCAGGAGGCGTCCCGGCTCCCTGTCTGCATGCCATGCCTGCACGGACCCTCGTCAGGGAAGCCCCGCGGCCTCGCAGTAAATAACTGCTGTTAGCAAAGTCAGAGCATGAGGGGGCTCCAGCAGGCAACGTGGTTAATCGCATTATTCAAAAAAAATAGCGTTCTTAAAATTCACACTTTGAAACGCTGCATCAGCCCCCAATGTCGTCCAGTGCCTGACATGCAGATGGGCTACACAAAGGACAGTTTAGTGACAAAACATCTGGATCTGTCATGTGTGCAAACTTGAAGACAAAAAGAACAACTTTCAAGTATTACAGCTGTTTCCATAGCTTAAAAAACAAACCAAACAATTGCTTTTTGCAGTGGGTGAAAAACCAATGACAAAAATCTCCATGAATGCTTCATCAGGCTGCCTACTTTGCCATAGATTTTCTGTCGCAAGCAAAGCTTTTCCCAACAGCCTGCTGGCATATTGAAACCGAGACCACGGGGGAAACCAAATCAATTGCATTTGAAAGAGGGAGTTTTCTGCTAAATCCTATTGCTCCGGATAGCAGTGCACACCCAGGAGCTCTCCGGCAGCGGCTGCAGTCGCGTTTTCCCCCCCAAGATGCACAGCGATGGGGTGTGGAAAGGGCGCAGGGCTGGCGTCCTTCGCCCGGGTCGGCGTCGAGCCAGGCTGCTGCCAGCAGGCTCTGCCCCTGCCCTGCTGCCAGGGCGAGGATGGGGCACTACGGCCTGAAATTGCAGCTAGACAAATTCAGCTGCAAAGGCAAGACAAGCTGTCTAAACTGCAAGGATGGAGAAGCGCCAGAGTCTCGCTGGCAGCTTTACAGACAGATTTGGCATTTGTCGAGGGAGGTTTGGAGCGAGAAGGTCCTGCCATGGGGCTGAGCACTCTTCTAGTCCTTTTGCTCTTATTCTGGCTGTGTCTGAAGTCACCTTCTCCAGCCTTTTCCGAGGGAGCTTTTCTCCAGCAACGAGGGAAGAGATCCCATTCCTAGAATAAACTGGGAGAATCACATCCTCGCTGCACTGTATCCGTTTGAGCAGACATTGAATCATACAGCAAGCTGGCATTTAAAATAGCTGAATTCTGCTTTTTAGCGAAAACATTGTTCGGTCCTAAGAAAAGAAGGCCAAAGGGGATCTCATTGCCATCTTAGCTACCTAATGAGAGGGTATAAAGACGACACGCAGGGAAAGGAAGGGGGACAACAGACACAGGCTGCTGCTGGAGAAGCTCCAATTAGATGGCAGAGGGAGAAACATTCCCAGAGGGGTGGTCAGACACCAGAACAGAGGTCCGGAGAGCCAGGGGACCTCCCTCCACGGATACTCAACACTCAACTGGACAAGGCCCTGCATAGCCCAAGACAACTTTGAAGTTGTAGCCTAGAAGCTTGCCCTACTTTAAATGGGGGGGGGAGGGGGGACAGAGACCTCCAGAGGTTGCTTCCAAGCTGGATTATTCCATGATCATGCCGGACGCTGTTTTATAAGGAGTAGTACTCCATCACCAGTTAGTACAGAGCATAGGAAACCTTTGCTCAGGAGTGCTACCACCGTAACTCTTGCATGCAGCATGTCAGAGGTGGCCATATGCTCAAGGTTGTTTGTCACCGTCTTGACCCCACTCATAACCGGAGGTTTGGCCCAGGAGCCTCTCCTGGTCTGCCACACTGGAGCTGCTCCTGAGCTAAGGTCTTCACGGGCTTCGTTACCAAGCTCGTGGGCAGCGCTGACGGCTTGGAGACAGCGTCCTCCTCGCGCTAGCAGCTTCCCCCTGGATTCCCGGGCTCTCTCCACCTGTCCTTGCAGGTGATTAAGTTGACATGAGTCACTGCTCACCTGCCCTTCCCGCTGGCTGTGCACTCACACCGTTTCGCCAGCCCTCGCTGCCGTGACAGGTACGGCTCATGTTGCATGACCTAGTTAGCGCAAACAGCGGCGAGATGCAGCTCTGGGAGACGAGCGAAGCCCATCTCCAACCTGACAGCAAGCCCGAGGCATCCTGCCCGTCCCTGGGAGCCACAACCACCCTGCCGTGCGAGTGCCAAGGTTTATTTCCTGCAGCATCTCCTGGGTGGGGGCTTGCCAAGCCTTTTGGATGACCCTGCTGCCAAGCTGTCTACTGTCCAAGCCGGGCTGGAGACCATGCTGGGCTGATCCTTTGGATCCCTGTACGTTGGCATCCAGGCTGCAAGTGAGCCCCCACTAACGTGCGCAGAGGCTGCTGGGTTTCTAGACCAGGAGACACTGCTGCGATGGCCCAGCCTGGTCTCCTGCCAGCCCCACACCCTCAGCGAGGCATCCAGTACCCTGGCTGAGCTAGGGCACAGCTTTGGAAAAGAGGTGCCACGTTTGGAGCAGAAGACCCCAGTGACGGAGAAACCTCCACCTGCGAGTCAGCAGAAGGCTCAAGACACTTGCTTTGGCAAACTGCACATTTTCCCTAACCCAGCTTACCTGCTTTTAGGTTCTCACGTTAGATTTTGTTCTGCCTTTTTTCCCTGAACTGAAGGGTCTTCTGCTGCGCTAAGCCCGGTCCCCGTGTCAGGACACACGGCCTGTGACACAGTCACTACTTCTCCAGCTCTTGCCAAATTGCGTGGGCTGAAGCCTTGCTTTAGGGCTTTCTAACTTGAAGTGATTTTTGTGGGTCTTTCCCAAACCTCTTCCTATTTAAGGTATCCTTTTTTTGAAACATAGGCCCACAAATTAGACCAGCTTTCCAATAATGGACTGAACGCCATATCCTCCCCCACGCTTTTTCGCATTGCCACTCTTTGCACACGCTGGGCTGCATTAGCTCTCTTATCAGCTGCATTATTCAGAGCAATACAGAGTTTGCTATTTCCCACAGCCTCAGGATCTCTTTTAAATCACTGCTTTCCAAAACACAGCCCACTATCAAGACTTCTTTGTTTCCAGGTGCCTGGCTTTATACTCCTCCAAGTCAAAACATATGTTCAAACAAGCCCAGCTATTGTGCAGCCTAGATCACCCCACCAACATTTACATAACCTGCTAACTTCAGTAGTAATGATTTGCTTCCCTTTAAATTGCTCATAAAAAAAAGATTGAAACATACTGATTGCTGCAAGCAGGCGCCTCCCCCAGGGTATTGATTCCTCACTTACAGCGGTCCATGGAGACCTAGCACAGAGCAAATTTTAGCCTGCCCGACTGCACAAACCTTACAAAGCGTTGGCTTCCCATGCACACCTACGAAGTGCTGTGATCAGCCAGGCCTGGGGAGGCTATATTGGGATACAGACAGCAGCAACTACCTCACAGAGAAACACACTCTTCTTCCTATGTATAAAGCTAAAAATTTAAGCCAGAGATGGCTGTTCCTACAGGGCTCCCCAGCACTTTGAGCACTTTGCCTCAACAGTCCCTACATAGCCCAGGACACAAAATACAGATCCCATGGGAAAACTCCAGCTAGCACAAACTAACCAGCACTTCCCCCTCTCTGCTTCTCAGAACGACCCAAAAACACCCACACTGAGGTTCCCTGCTCTTCCCTTTTCTGCAGCTCAGTGCACCTGGTAGTCACTTGCTAATTAGGGACAATTAGCCTTCAGCTTCCCTACTGTGGCTGCCTAAGGGCCTGCTCTTCCCACCAGACCCTAAAAACGTGAATTTTCCCAATCCGTGTGTTCTGGCAGGGCTGTTTCGTAGCAGAGCAGAAGCAGCCAGCCTTCTGCAGCTGCATTGGTATTTAGGGGACTACAGTGCAGATTAACCCCTTGCAATTTAGGCCATTTCCTAAAGCATTAAAGCTCTCAGCTCAAAGCCTGGTCAGCGGCGGCTCCTGCTTCCTTGGGCGCTGAGCTCCTGGTTCATCACCTGTACAGATTCATTAACCTGAGACTCTTCCTAAAAATAATTAGGAGAGGGGCAAGCAGTTGGCTTCCCCTTCAGTTTTTGCAGTCGTTTTTAATAGCCTTGGCCAACAGCACGAGTTTGCACGCCGTTATGGGTCAACCCCGACTCCACCAGCGAGCGGAGGGCTCTGCG